TCTCCAAAACGAGCGTTTCGTACGAGACTTCCTCCAAAAGTGAAGCGGCAAGTCTCCCTCTCGCCTGCATTTCGCTCACTCGACACGCGCGATCTCCGCAGAGGGTTGCGCGCGTGGGACAAATCGCACTCTCGCCTGCGCTTCGCGCGCTCGACGCGCACGATCTCCGCAGAGGGTTGCGCGCGCGTGCGACAAATCGCACTCTCGCGTGCATTCGCGCGATCTCCGCAGAGGGTTGCATTTTCGGTTGTCGCTGTTCGTCCCACCCTCCGCCTTTAAAGAGAATTTATAAAGTGGGGGAATGTTTTTCATAAGGATATCTCCCGTGAAATAGATTTTCATGCTTATGCTTACACTTGCATACTTACACTTGCGTGCTTACACTTGGATACTTACACTTGCACACTTGCACTTGGATGCTTTCACTTGCAAGCTTTCACTTGGACACTTCAGTGCCATTGTAAGTATAGAAGTGTAAACTTCTAGTGTAAGTATAGAAGTGCATGTGTTCAAATGTAAGTATAGAAGTGTAAGTGTTCAAAAAATTTTCCGGAAGAACCCTTCGGTGCTTTATTGAAAAAGACAAATTAAAGGTAAAGGAAGGGGAGGGCACGCCGGGGTTTTCGGAAAGGGTGTTTTTTGTCGTTCCTCCTTCAAGCAACTCACCGCGAACTGTTCCCCTTGTTCCAAACATCTTCGTTTCAACCACGATGACTCGAGACTTTTTCTAGCTGAACTCAAAGCGCTGGTTCGCAACTCATGAATCTTGCTCTCATCATGTGTTGTCGTGTGTGTGCTCTCGCAGATTTGCTCTCTTATGTGTTCTCTCATTTACCTGGCTCTCAGTTGTGCGCTTTCATGCGTTTGCTCACATATGTGTGCTCACATTTGTGTTCTCTCCTGTTTGCGCTCTAGACTCTAGACTACACTCTAGCGGGCAGACATTTGCTTATTCGCCCTTGTTTTGGTCTACTTACCACGCTTTGGGGTCTCTTGCTGGGATAACTTATTGTTCAGAAAATGTTTAGTCGCAAGTAAGATGGTTTTCTTGGAGATATAGGTCAAATGCAAAGAAAACTCTCCAGGTCCAAGTCGCTGCACTTGCTAATCCCAAAGCCGGTATGGCAAAGGCTTTTTGTGCCTTAGATCTCACTAGAAGCATTGGCTTTCTGAGGCGCCTTCATATCAGGTAGACCCACCAGACCCAACTATGTTGTCACGTGTAGCACTCAGGTGAGATGAACTCCCAGTCGGTGGCCCTACTAAAGTCTCCGTGCCCAACAGTATGCAGCAGTTTTGCTGTTCCAGAATTCCAGACGCAAGCAACCAGACATTAGGTCATTAGGAACATCACAACCCAATATGTTCGTTCGACCTACTCGGCAAGGTACTTTTGGGCCATCATTGCGGCTCAGCTTTGAAGCTCTTGAAAGGAAAACTCTTGAACTCCGGAGTTGAGTTTGCCGCATTTGTCACACTGTCATACTGTATGTTGTGCGCAATGCCTGAATTCCTGAGGAATGGGAGATGTTTCCTGCTCTCACCCGAGGCTGGGATTGCTGCGAGCTGTGCATGGCACAAACAGCCAACCAACAAATTTCCATTTGGTCGCATGCTATGACTCTTGAGAAAGTGAGAGGTGCCAAGCTGGTAGTTGCTTCGTCCAACGGCCACAAGAGCTTGGAGCTCAGATCTCACGTCAGGTTACGCAGAGATGTGGAATACGCATATTAAGTTGGAGGCCATCGCTATTAGGTCTTTCTTTGAGGTCCGGAGTACTTGACCAATACAATTGCGGCTGAAGAGGTGGAAGAACTGGAGTGCACTGTGAGGAGTTTTCGGATTTTGGAGCAATGAAACCATGGCAACAAAAAGAGAACAAAACAATGGTAAGGTCCCTTTAAAGGGGCCCTAGTCATTTTTGCTCTTCTTTCTTTTTCTAAAAGACATTTATTTCCATTTCAATTCTCCATGTGGAATTGCCTGTAGGTGAGCGTCTTGATGATTACCCCTCAGGCCTCTCACGTCCTTCTTTAGATGACAGGCGATCGGACCAGAAGATGCAGATCCTTTCTTGCCAGGTCATGGACTTGGTGCTTGACGTCCACGACTCCCAAGGAAATGCCCGCCCTCTGCGCTCTGCCTGTGGCCTAAGAGTTTCTTTGAGAGTGCAGACAAGAAGTTTTGACTGCTCGCAGTTTCTCTTTGCTTCCTTTGCAGCCTTTTTGGCTTCAATCTCCGGTGAGTAATGCCATGGAACGAACTGGCGAGATTGAAGTAGATCCTCCTGAGCTTGTTACCAACAAGCACGGAACCAAGGTTGAGTGGGTTAGAGAACAATGTCGGGGCATTGAAGTTGCACAGTATTGTCATTAGTCATTTAGTCAATTCTTGGTTCAAGTTGACTAGGCCAGCGCCAGATCCAAAACGAACAGAAACAGCAGGTCAGCAGGATTCTCTAAAATCTAGGCCTGTAGCTTCCTAATTATATAGCTACCAAGCCTATATTGTACACCTTACCAAGCCTTATTACGAACTACTTAAGCTACCTCTTGGCCTACCCCCTTTAAAAACTCATGACGTTTTGAGGCAGGCTAGGGACGGCTGCAGGCTAGTGACAGCCAGTGAGGTGGGAAGTTCTACCAAGGCCAGTGCTGGACGCCTTTCACTTTCTCATCACCAGACCGTTTTGCAATGCTTGCTTGCTGATTCACATCTTCCTCCTTACTACATGCATTTCTACTTCATATTACCCAGCTCCTTGCTTGCAGACAAGGCCACCGAGCTTTTCAACGGCAGACTCCTGTGTTGGCATTGGTGCTCATTGACCTAGGGTAAGCCTAAGCTGTGACTCAGGCAATGAAGCAAGAGTCAGTGAATTTGGAGCCCTACAACACAAGGCTGACAGCTATAATTTTCAGGTTTCGTTTGGTTTGCCTGTTGTTTGACATGGAAGAAAGGGGTTGGCATTAGCATACAGAAATAGGCTTGGTGACAAAAGTTACGTGAATGTGAGCACGCAAACATGTTATAGTATAGTTTGATTTTTCAGTGCCCCCTGCATTCCTTTTCAGACTGAAGAGTGTGGTGGAGTCATTGCAACATGACTTTGATACCGAAGAGGGCATGCTGACTGACCTTATCCTGATTTGGAGTACACAACGAAGAGATGCTTTGTTGAATCGAGACCAGGACTTCCTGGATCTTCAGCAAGACATTCAGAACCATCTCTCTCACTTGCAAGGCAACAAAAGGAGCTGCAAGAACCTGACCTGGGCAGATCCAAACTTTGCACCCAGCAATGATGCTGCTCTGATTCAGCTTGATATGAAAATCAAAGCTTCCTTTGGCCATCGAAATCAGTGTTTGTACACGATTCGAAAGTATGTAGACAGTTTGGATCACAAAATGAGTGGGCACTTGAAGTTGGCAATGGCTGGTCCCCACTCTGTGGTGGATGCCTCATACGATGAGTGTGATGAGGGGACCATGCGCCATTTGCTGTTGAGCACACCTTTCTTGGCAGCCCTACTCATAATGGGTGTTGGCACAATTCCAAGGGCACTGACTCCTTTCCTGTGCCTTGCCGGTAGCGTGCAAGCGTCTCGGTGCGCAATAGTACTTCTCAAAAGCCTTTGGGAGGACCTGAACATGGTGGGTCCAGACACCCAATTCCTCTTTGTGCAGCTGGCCCTTTGCTTTGACTATGCTCTCTTCTTTTGGGTGCGCTTCTCTCAGGAGAGACAGCAGAGACCCGGCAACATCGATGCGCAAAGCATTTTGATGAGGACCTTGCAAACATCAGGGTTTGTTATATTCATCAGCACTATGGTTTTAGTAGTTGCTTTCCTGGGTGCAAGCTGCTATCCGGACCTGAACAAGCTGGGGTATCTTTATGCTACCTTGAACCTGGCTCTGGGCACTCTTTTTGTCGGCTTTTACAGCCTAACGGTGCCCACAGTGCTGGCCTCCATTTGGCCAAACCTTTTCGATGATCCTAAAGGTAGCTTTCTTCAGGACGGCCTTCAAGGAATCTCACGCTTTGTCAAGGCAAGGGTTTTTCGCCCAGTGGGCTATGTGGCATCATCAAAGCCTTTGAACTACCTGGCAACAGTCTTGGTCCTGGCAACCTTCGGACCTTTGATCCTCAACATGTTGCGATTGGAGCCCAACTATGACTACACGGAGACGGACTTTTCAACCAGTGTGCGCGAGTACGATGCCTACAACATGGTGAATCGTAAATTCGATTTGCAAGACATGCATAAGATGACTGTTTTCATGGAAGCTTCCCCGGCTCTTCGAGACCACTTTTCAAAGTTGTCCAGTGAAAGCGGAGACCAAATGGATTTGACCTTTCACAAAGCTGCATGCCTTGTTGCGCGGACCATATCCATGGATAAGGTCTGCAAGTCAATGGGGATTCCCGACAAGATTTTGTCAATCGACTGGGATGCTGCAGACAAATCCTGTTTGAATTCAATCCAACACATCCCAGGGGATGAACGGTACCGAGCGCGAAACCACACCAAAGAGCGCATGTTCTTGTTTCCAGAAATTGATGATTTGCAAGGCAAAGATGTGCAGAAGCTGGTGAGGCACTTCTGGAGAACTATTGAGCCTGAGGTGGCCATCCGGAATGGCGAGAGAATGCTCTTCTCTGCAACGTTGTACACACCCGTTGCAGAAGATATGCTTCTGGAGCAGCAGTACAGGCATGCTGCACCATGGATTGTGGGTGTTACCATTTTCATCGTTTGTTTCATGGTCGGCTGGCTCTTCAAGTCATACTTTGTTGCAGTGAAAATGGTGGGAGTCTCAGTGCGTGGAAAACATCTGAAGCACATGTCTCTCAGTCTTATAGCAACCTACTAGCAATGGCCTCCAACCTAATAGCG